TACCCCCAACATACCCCCCAAAGGGTTTTTTGAAATTTTAAAATTTTTCTAACGAGCCTATTATTTGAGACACCCTGTATATTTCAACAATAAAACATGACAGCCAGTTCTTCAATATATTGAACTGCTATGCATAAAAAAGATTGAACTGAAAATGACTTCGTGGAAAACGTGTTTACTCGAATGTAAGTAATAAATTTTTATTTATTGTTTTGAAAAATATAATAAAAACTAAAAACATAAAACACATTGATAAAAAGTATATTACAATATATCAACGATACTGAATTCATCCGAGCTATACTACTTTGTGAATGTGACAATTTGTGTGAACAAACTTGTAGCTGGTATTTAAGGCCTGAAATTTTGCGTGGAATCCATGGATATGTATTTAAATATATACAAGTATACATATATATATATATTTTTGCAATGAATTGGGTCATAGCATTCATTGCCGATGGATACATTTTCATACAAATTGAATTTTATATCATTTGTGTGTAGCTATGGAATATAGTCAAACATATCCATCGGTGAGAGTAAAAGTAGTCTACGTTTAGTTTTACCAACTACATTTCTTAACACATATGAACAATAAAAAAACGAATGAACCGAATATGTAGACTTCTTTATTTCGACAGAATGATCATACAAAATAACTGCCATTCACATCGAATTGAATTGGGGTTTTTTCCCCCTCAAATTTACGATTTGCAAAGTGTGTAGAAACAAACATAGTCTTTTTTTTACCCTAACCCATATACATCATTTATCATTGAGATTTGCATTTACGTTTTGGCATCCAATGTACATACGCCAAAAGCAATATAACTGTGTAAAATTTGCCACGTATATGAATTTAATGAAATCATCTATTTGAATTTTCAATTCGAATCATGAAACAATTCATGAGAATGGGATTGATGGGCAAATTCAAATATTAATTGTTTAAGCAACCCCAGTGGAATAAATCAGAATCACTTAATTAAATACGTTTTATCCAAACATTGTAGTGATTTCATCTCTCAAGCCACTCGATTTTCATTATCCTAACAAAATGACATTATAGCTGAAGCATGGCGAAAAATGTTTTGGTCATTTCAGAAATGTAAAAAAGAAATTGTATTCCAATGAGCAATGTGATTTACTTGCCTTTTAGCATATTTATTCGAATCAATATTTATCATTTATTTAAACTGTTGCGATAACGGTGAGCTGCGCTGAGCTGAGATGAGATAAATCAAACAAACCAATATATGCCTATCACGTATAGGCGTGAAATCACTCACATGCTTGTTTCATCTAACTTTATTTAGCTTATTTCACATCCAGTTTGCGAAACGTGTCTAGACTATCACATTAAATGTCCGTCATCGTACATGGATTGAACCAATCGTGAAAACTCCACTATAACCACAACCACAGTCAAAATAACTATTTGTACAGGAACTTTAGTCTTGTTGACATTTAAGATGTAGCACAAGATTTTATGCGAAATTCGTCTACCATTTCTTTTTCTCGTATCTTGCTTATTTCTTATTGTTTGTGGCACCAGTTACCTTGGCAAGATGTTCGCCAAAATTCGACGGTTTAGTTATTCGATTTAATCTCATAATATTCTAATAATATCCAGATTTATATTGATATGCTTCATCATACTATCTCATTTATTCTGATATTTGGAAAGTTTCAGGTCAATTCATTTAGTACATATCTATTTATGGGAAAATAATTGAAAATGAATTTTTTTTATTATTGCCACTAGAATATATGGGAAAAATGTTCAATATAACATTACTACTTCTATTTTTATACTTTTTTTGCCTATAACTCTAAAAACAACTACGAATATATCAACTTGTGGAAGTTTTTTTTTCAATAATGTTATTTTTCATTGACTATTAAATATGCCAATGAAATTGGCTACCAACTGCAATTCTATACCAATATTTAGTTGATACGGTTTATAAAATGAATTAGGCACTTAACTAAATAAATTCAATTGAACGGTTCATTTATTGGGCAGGAAACAGCATATAAAAAATGTACAGATAAAACCTTTAAAAAAACAGTTAATCTAGATATCTTGGTGAAAAAGCATGGTCAACATAAAGTACTTCAGCAAATGTGATGCGATAAATTTGTGCATAGCTCGACATGACATTGACAACGATTAGTAAATGTAGCTACAGGCTGCAATTATGGTTGTTTTACCTTCGTGAATATAATGTAATATGCTATATGGCTGACTGATGCATATGATCTGAACAACTTGCTTTTTTTTCTCACAGTTCTTGTATGCCTGTTCATTGCACGACAGACTTGCAGAATATATACATGGAATACTTTTATTTCATAGAACATAAAGTACATTTATGGGGCCACATTGTTCCAATAATTTTCATCTGTTTGAACTCATTTTCAGCCCTCGACTGTTTTTATGCATGCATATGCAGGGCATATCGTTTTCATATGGTACCATACATGGGCACAGTGTAAGCCCGGATAACCCCCTTGAATCGTTTGAGCTACTCCCTCGGCGGCAAGTGAGCATTTCTTCGATTTTCTAGGGGTTTACAAGAAAGTGATGACCTTTTATTTGCTCTTCAATTTTATACGAGATGGGCAACATTCTATTTTTAAGCTGTTTTTTTTTAAATCAATTTTTCTCCGAGTGGAATAAAAGAAAACCTTTTTTCCATGGCTCTTGAGCGAAAAATTCTTTTAATTTGCTAGGGTTTTTGATTGGCGGATGGTCCCCCCTTACATTGTTCCCATGCCCATGTATGTATGGTACATAGTTTCTACAAGCGAAAAAAAAAAATAATCTAACATTGAGTGACAACTGTGCTCGTGTTTTTTAAACCCGAAAAAAGCAAACGAAACAAAAATTCGAATAAAGGTGACGAACAAAATGAATCTCTATATCGAGTATGTCTGATTGTAACAAAACATGTGTATTATATTCAAAACGAGCATAAATGTAATCATCATCAACATCGTCATCGCTATAGGCGGCTATCATAGCCATGATGTTTTTA